GGCGTCTGGCTGAGCTGCGGGTGCAAGAATAAGGGGCTGGGACCTCCGGGCAGGTCGCCTCCCTTGGAGCCGCCCCGCCCCGCCCCCGGGAGCCGCGCTCACTCACACGCCGCTGAGCACATGGATAGCTTGCGTGCACGGTGCGTGTCCAGCCAGCTCCACGTCTGCCAACGCCTCGCTCACTTCCACGCCGGGCCCCTCGAAATCCATGGCTTCAAACAGCACCACAGCCGGGTCCCCGAAATCCTGAACAGCGGGGGACAGTCCGGTCTCCGCCAGGCCCTCCCACCCAAGGACAGAAAAGGAGTGCCCGGCCCCAGGGACGCAGACCACCCAGGAAATTCAGGGTGAATCTTCCGTGCAGCGCGGGGAAAGAGCAGCAGCAGGAGGGGAGAGACTAGACCTCCGGAGAACAGGAAGAGGGGGACAAGTCCGCCCCTTGCACATGGTGCTCAAGGGAAGCTGGCTCTGGCTCAGAGGCAAGAAGGATGGCCCAGTTGTCTTCCCTTACCGTACGGATGACCCGCAGGGAAGCCAGCACCTCGTCGAAACCTCCCCAGTGTGACCAGTCAGCGTATTCCCCCTCCTCCAGCAAGTACTGGTGGCCCCGGAAGCCCTCCTTCTCATAGCCCACCCAGCTAGGGAGAAAAAACATGAGCAGTCACAGGAAGCCTGTGAATAAGACCGCTATGTCCCCGCCCACGTGCTCAGGACCACCCCCCTGCCTCCAGGGATAGAGGGGAGGGAGTGTGTGGATGAAATGGAAGGAAGGGTGCTGAGGTCTCACCAGCCCCCGAGGATCCGCAGGGACCCTACAGAGGCCAGGTGGGGGCTCTTGCTGTCTTCTGGCTGCCTCAGGTTGTAGATGTCACGACTCACTTCCCAGCTCTGGCCCTGAAAACCTGGGGCCTCAAACACCACAGCCTGTGGGTGTGTGAGTGGGGGTCAGGCTGATGAGCAGTGGTCTGGGCCCAAACACCCAGCCAGCCCAGGAATGGCTCTGCCCAGTATCAGTCCAGAGCCCTCACCCCGTACTGGCCCCCAGGCCTCTACCCAACTCCTGCCCGCGCTGACCAGGGCCTGATATCTCAAAAGCCGATTCCCAGTGAGCCCGTCAGACACTGTCCTCCCAGACCCAGCTTCTGACTCTCAGTGCCCACTCTCTTGCCTTCCAGCCGAGACATGATGACCACACCCTCCCCAGAGACCCTCCTCGACTCCCAGGCTCTTACCTTGGGCTCCCCAGGCCGCTCCACGCTAGGGCATCCCTGTGTAAGAGGCAGAACTAAGACAGAGCTGCTCAGAGTGGGAAAACAGATGGACAGGGAGGGGACCCAGGATTCTCCTGATCCTGAGACCCTTCAAAGCGGTCACCCTGGCTGCCCTTTCTCCCCACCCCGCTGTCTCACCCTGTCTCCTCCGATCTCCATGCCCAGTGAGAGCCCTCAGGCCCTGACCCTTACCAGTGTCAGAGGCTTCAGGGAGCCAAGGATGGGGCTGGCTGTGCCACAGGCCTCCAAGGTGGGGTACTCCCCAGGCTCCAGGATGCAGGGAGTGTCTCCAAAGGAGGGTTTGGGGTACAGCAGCCACCTGGGGGATGGCAAAGAAACTGCTGCATCCCAGATCCCACAGGGCACAGATCGGTGGGTGGGAGGGAAGATTTTGAGGGGACAATCTCAGGAGGAGTCCCCATTAAGGAACTTCCCATCATCGATGGTAGGACCTGCCTCCGTTCCTTCCTCCTGAATTTCACACAGCAGTGGCTGGGTTCTCCTATGACTTCTCTGCTTTAAAATCCTTCGTAAAAAAATCAGTTCCTTAGAAACCCAGTAGTTCCCAATGAAGCCAGTCCTGGGACATCCAACCTCTGCCTCTGTCCCCGGGATTCACAGCTCACCACCTGCCGCTTACACTGGCCAGACTGAACTTACAGTGCCCACCTGTCTCACCCCTGGGTCTGTGCAGGGCCTGTTCCCTCTGCCAGAGAGACTCTTTCTCCATCATCCCACCAGCGAATACACCGGGGGCAGCTCCTCTAGGCTTGAACAAAACGGACACAATCTGCCCTTGTAGAACTTAGATTTTTCTCTGGGCTCATCCCAGTCCAGGCACTCCCACCTCCAGGAAGGCCTCTAGGACTACCCAGCTAGTATGCTGCTTTTCCCTGCGTCTGCAGTCCCCTGCTACCGGCACCGTCCACTCCCCACAATGGATTGCCATCTTCTGCCTTCTGGTCTGTCACCACCGGTTGACTGAGCATTTCTTAAAGGCAGGAGTGTCCCCAGCTCTCAGCATACCCCAAACCCCAGCTCACTACCATGGAGTCAATTCTGGCGCATAGTGGCCCTATAAGACAGTTCAGCTGCCCTTTGGGTTGATGGCTGTATAAACGGTCTCTCTTCGCTGGAGCAGAAGCTTCGTCTTCTGCCCAACTCTAACTCACTACTCCAGGAGGGCTCTTGGTACCCAGCCCTGGGACGGTTACATGAAGGGACTCACAGTCCTGCTGAGACAGCGACAGAGGCCACCTGCAGGGGATGCCCCAAACCCTGGGGGTCCTCCAAGGCCTGGGTTAGCTTCACATGCTCCCCTTTGAGACCCTCCTCAGAAAACAGGCTGATCTCTGGGATGCTGTAATCCTGCGGAGGGAAGAGAGGAAACCAGTGTGAAGCACCCTCCCCAGCCCCCACCTGTTTCCCCAAGCATGTCCTGCCAGAGCCTCAGGTGGCTTCTGGAACCCCAGATGACAGGAGGCAACTGGATGGTCTCAGACAAGCCTGATCCCAGAGCCCTTTCATGCCCCGCCAGCACCAGCACTCTGTGGCCCCCATGCCCATCCCCCCACCTCTGGGCACACTGCCTTTCTGGCTGGCAGAGGGACAGGTGAGATTGACCAGGTCTAATGCTCCCATCACGCCCCAGAAGCAGGAGGCCCTGTGCATTCTGGGTGTCTCTTCCTCCTTAGGGCCACTTTCCACTCATCAAATGCTGTTGGGACATGGACCGAGTGCAGGACACCTCTCCAGGTCATTGGTGCACCCCAGGACCATTATCACTCCCCTCACCAGTGAGGAAGATGAGCTCAGAGAGGTTGAGCAACCTTCCCAAAGTCACACAGCTGGAAAGCAGCCACGTGAAGAAAAGACCATCATAGTCTGGATTCTCCATTTTCCACCCAGCCCCTCCCACACGCCTGGCACGCAGCAGGCGCCCCATTAAGACTGAAGGGATCCAATGAAGCCAGGTCCCCCTGACTTCAAAGCTCTTGCTTTCTCTCTTGCCCTTTGTTACCTCCCACACAAAGATGAATTCATTGTGAGAGGCTGGCAGTAAACTCTCCACAAACATCTGTGTGTGTCTGAGAAGCTTTGTAAACTCCTGTCCCTCCTCTGCCTGGCTGGTCGACTACCCTAGTTAGGACTCGTCAACGCTGGTTGTCTTTTGCAAGGAGGGTGTCATAACGCGCACTTGGGGTCACTCACTGTTTCCTTTTTTGTTGTTTTTTTTTAAGCCAGGCCCCAGCCCTCCCTAGAGTGCCGTGGGGTCTTCCTAGCAGCAAGATGGCTTTTTGGTCAAATTTCATGTCATTTCTGCAGTTTACAAATTTGTGTTAGGAAGACACTCGCTCTCTTCCGCGCCCTCTCCCCTTTCTACTTTACAAATACGGAGTTACGTGTTGATTAAGCCCTTGCAAACCACCACCACCCCACCCTACCCACACACATACACCCACCCCATGCCTCAAAATTCAATAGTGGCTCTTTGGGCTAGAATAGCCCTTCCTGGTTTCCAAGTCTCCACTCGTTAAGCTATCGAAATACTTCTAAATCCCCAATCTGGTTAAACAGCTACCTGTTTCAAACCCAAGCTCATATGCTGGCTTAACCATGAGGCCTGCAGGGCAGAGAGCAGGACGCCCCCACCTGCCAGGGCCGGGCACCGTGCCTGGCACACAGCAGGCATCAGCGAGCATCTGTGAGTTGAGAACCTGGGCCCTGGTGCAGGTGACTCCTCCCATGGAGAGGCTGGCAGTACGAGATCCACAAATGGCTGTGTGTTTCAAGTCTGGGAAACGTTGCCTGGCTGGGCCACTGCCCTCGTTAAGACTCATCATTTCTCACTGAGCCCTTTCTCAGCACCAGCTGGCACGTCCTCAGACTTCGCTCCTTCTGCTGGCCCTGCCTCGTCGAACCAGCCTCTGCACCTGCCCCAGAATGGCTCCAAGGATCATTGACACCCCCCCCAAGCCCCAACACTCACTGCCATCCGTCAACTCTGACTCACAGCGACCCCTGTGGGTTTCCGAGGCTGTAACTCTTCAGGGAGTAGAAAGCCTCGTCTTTCTCCTTCAGAGCAGCTGGTGGTTTCGAACTGCTGATCTGGAGGTGAGCAGCCCAACGCATAACCACAACGCCACCAGGGCTGCAGAGTTCCCAATTCTGGGCAAACAAGGCCACTTCCCTCCTCAGCCTAGAGTGTCTCCTCTGGCTGACGGGCACATGCTTCCCTCAGAGCAGGGTACTAGAGGGCAGGGTCCACTCACCTGGACAACCCTTCTCAGGGAGCCGATGCTCTTGGGGTTCCACTCGGGCCTTGAGGCTTGGAGTTCCACGTCTCCTTCGGGCAGGGCCAGCTTCCGGCCCTGGAACCCCGGCTCTTCATAGAGCACCCAGCTGTGAGCACAAAGACCCCAGGGTCATTGGGGGTGGGGTGGCGGTGTGTGACATGCCCACTAGGCAGCTGATGACGTTTCTGCTCAGTTGGCCTGGACACTTCTCACTGTCCCCAACCCCCGGTTCACAACAGGACCTCCGTTGGGCACTCCCCACTCACCAGCCTCGCACCACCCTTACAGAGGCCACTGGGGGCCAGCCAGATGTGTTGGCAACATCTTCCCAGACCTCCTTGCTGCTGCCCTGGCAGCTGGGCTCCGAGAACAGAATCATCTGGACAAGGCACAGAGGAGGTCTTCAGGCCCCGTCCCAGGGCTCTTGCCACTTGGGCCTCCTCCCCCACAGTCCCCACCCTACCTTTCCAGGCCTGGTGTTCAGTTTGCCCTGGGTCTTCAGTGCTGGGCTCTGGAAGGTGGTGATGGTGGTGGTGGTGGGGGGGTGATCAGAAGTCATACAGGGTTGTCTCCCCACAACCCACCGTTCCAGGCAACCCACATCCTCCTTATTCTCTTTCCCCCACAGAGGATGCCACATGTGTCCTTTCAACCCCAAGGGGGTCCATCAACCCAGTCCCAGGGGCTGGGTGCCACCCCCACGCCCCCAGCCCCAACGGCAGAGCAAACCTCCTGCTGTCTGGAGCGAGCCGGGACCTCACACCGCCCAAAGTCCTGATGAGGCCAGGGCCCTTCCCTTTCCCACCCCAGCCTCACTCACCCTTCTCTCCAGGGGCTGGGCTTGGGTGAGCTTCTCTGGCGCTGAACTTTCACTGCAGAGCAGGGCCAACTGTCCAGACACCCTCCTGAGCCCCGGAGGCGCATGGGGCGTCAGAGCAGATAGCTTTGTGCCCAGGGGCTCCGGGGCAGGGGCCTCCTTGGCAGGAGGCACCAGACCTCCAAACAGAAGGCTGCCTCCCAGCCGGGAAGTAGGTCTGTTGCTGGCCTGGCCCTCCAGCGCCTGCCCCAGGGGGGAGCTCTTGGTGCCAGCTACATGCTGCTTCATCATCTCCAGAGGGGAGCGGAAGTTCTGGGGAGGCCTGGCAGGGAGGGGGTCCCAAGAGGGGCTGGGCCCAGCCTTCTCCTGCCTGTGCTGGAGCTTCTCCTCGTCACTCAGGTAGGGGTTCTCAGGTTCCTCCTCCTCCTCCTCCTCCTCCTCTTCCTCTTCCTCCTCTTCTAGGGCTGGTACCTCCTGGGGGCTGGGCCCCATCACCCAGGGCCCTGGCGGACTCTCCTCAATGGCCGGCAGGGTAGCATACATGGCCAGGTAGGAGGAACGGGGGGCTCGGGGCAGCCGGTGAGTGCGGAGGATCTCAGGGGGCTCCATGCTCCGCAGGGTGTCCAGGAAAATCTCCAGGTCTGCAGCCAGGGCCTGTTCCTCCTCCTCCTCCCTCGAGGGCTCTGGGAGCAACTGCCCCTTGCAGTCAGTGACACACTGGGACTTCAGGCTGGCCTCTGTTCCCAATGGCATGGGTGCAGGGGGGCCTCCTGCGCTCAATAGACAAGATACTTTGTCTATTGAGAAGGATGGGACAGGGATGGCAGCAGGTCCCTGGACCACCACGTCGTCGGGGGTGACAAAGGGGGCCGGAGCAGCGCCAGAGTCCTGGATAGCCTCTGTTTGGGTGGGAGATGCGCTGGGGCAAACTTCAGAGCCCCGGGCAACCTCTTCCTGTTTGAGGGATGGCTCCTCTGGAGCCACCGGGCCTTGGACAACTTCTTCCTCAGTGAGAGAAGGGGCCAGACGGCCTTCGGTACCCTGGACAACCTCTTTGGAGGCAGAGGCTGAGCTAAAGTGGTCCTTTGGGTTCTGGACCACTTTGACTGGTTTGGGGGGTGGGCCCTCAGGCCCCTGTGCTCCCTCCTTCTGGACGAGGGAGAAGACAGGGCTGTCTTCCTGGGCCTGAGCAGCCGTGCTGCTTGGGGAGGCTTGAGGAGCAATCCCTGCGGGGCTGGGGGCAGCCTGCCTGTTGGTTGAGGATGGGGCAGGAAGTTGCGTGGAGGCCATGCTGACCTTGTTCCTCAACACAGGCTGGCTGGTGGCAGCGGGGGGGTCTGTGAGCTCTTCCCTTTTGCCAGGGTGCAGGTCGTGGGATTCCCGGGGCTCCAGAGTATGCTGGGTCCTGGGGTGAGTGGGCACTGCAAGCTGCTTTGGGGGCTGGGCTAGACCCAGGGAGGTCTGAAGTCTGGGGGCAGAAGATCCTGCTGTGCGGTCCCGAGAAGTCTGGAGAGAGAGCTGAGTGGGACTTGAAGCTCGTGGTACCCCAGGGACCTCCTGGGTCCTGGTCCTCAGGGCCTTGCCCTGGTCTTGCTCTGGGTGGGCTGCAGGGACGTGCTGGCTGTGAGGGGGGTAGGTACCCACTGGGAAGCCTCCAGGGTCCAGGGCAGTTCTGTCCTTTGGCTCTGGTGCCCCATTCTCAGGCAGCTGCCCCGGGACTGCCCCTCCAGGGCCATCCAGAGCGGGGCTCCGTGGTACAATGAGCGTGGGCTTGGGCAGCCGGCTGGCAGGTGGCTTGCACTCAGGAGGCACCAGGCTCGTGAGCAGCTCCAGGGCCTGGCTGTGGCTGGGGGAACCCTCCGTTCGGGCTCTCACCACCACTGCCCGGACTGTGCGGACAGCATTACGGCCTCTTGGCAGGGCCTCACCCGACAGCATGGGCCTCACGGTCACAGAGCTGTTGACTCGCCGGTCTACCTGCCCTGCCACCACCATGGTAGTCCGTACAGTGCGTGTTACCCGCCGTTCCTCGGACATCTGAGAGCCCTGGATGGCGAGGCCCATCGCTGGGTGGGGGCTTGGCTCCCGTGGCCCGGGCTGGGCCACCAAGAACTCGGACCCGGCCAGGGCACCTGGGCCTGGGGTCTCCGTAGTCCTGGGGGGCTGGAGGCTGCCATCCCTCTGGTCGACAGCCTTCTTCAGCCTCCCCGCTGGCCACCTCTCCTTGGGGGGTGGTGCGTACCTCTTGGAAAAGATGGGCTCATGACTCTGAAAGCTCCAGGCAGGCCCCCCTTGGGTGCTCTGGTGATTCACAGTCTCTTCCTCCCGGGAAACAAAGCCGTTGACTTGCTCTGGCCGGTGGCTGTGCTTGGCCACCTCCCGGAAGCCACCCGCCTGCGTCCCTGACACCAGAGACACCTTGTGAAATCGGTGTCTGTTTTCTTCCTGGGCAGGGGGCCTTTGCCGCCACACCAATGTGGCGCTCACTACTGGGGCCTCAGCCCGGGCTGGGGGCCCGTCTTCCTCCTCCATGCCGGGCCCCAGAGGCGTCCTCGACTCACAGTGGTCCAGCTCCCTGCAGTGGAAGGACCAGGGAGAAGGGCGATGACGGTCAAGGGCTGTGAGGGAGATGCCCCGTAGTCCAGGCCGGGTGACCCTGAGCAAGTCACTTGACCTGTGGAGTCTTTGTTTTCTCATCCATAACACCAGCAGGATACTTCCCACTGTGACTTGATTCATCAGTTGTCATCCCCACCACCACCACACACACACACACACACACACAGCCTCTAGCCAGCATTCTTCAAAAGGGGAAGCAGAGGGCCAAGCCTGCAAGCAGAGACGGGAAAGAGCAGAGAGCAGACAGCTATTTCTGAGGGTTTATCCCACGCAGGGGGTCCCCTGGTGGCACCGTGGTTAAAGCACTCCGTGGGTCTGCTTCCCAGAAGGATGTCCAGCCTTGGAACCCCACGGGGCAGTGCGATCCACAGCCCTGCCCGGTCGCTAGGCTTTGGAACCGACGCCGCAGCGGCCCAGGGTGTGAAGGGCTTGCTCGGTGCGCTGACCGCGCTGACCCTTTTCGAAGCACTGTCCAACACTTGTCCTGCTGGACTCTCGAAGCAGTCCAGGAGTGTGACCCTAGAGTGTGACACTACCTTGCAAGTACAAGACCCGCATCTGTGAAGCCCCACCTCTGTGGAGGGCTCCCCAGGATAAGGCCTGGCTGGTTGATGTCTTTGGTCAAGCTGTGCTGTGTACATATACGCCGTACGATTCTTTCCAGACCAACCCCCACCCCAGGTCCCTCCAGGTTCCTTTCTGCCTCAAACCTACAGAGCAGCTTCAGTGACTGAACAGGAAAGAGGAGAGGGGGGAACGTAACATCGACATGCGCCTGCGGTCCTCAGGGACAGACCACCCCACCCCCCACCCCACCACCAAGAGTAAATTAGAAGCAGGTATCTCAGTGAGAGAAAGGAAGTCACGTGCCCACAGTCACACAGTCAGCAGAGGGAGGACTCTGAGCCCTGACCCTCAAGTCCAAATCCCTTTGCAGTGAACCGAAACTCTTTGGTTTCGGGGGTTTGCTTTGAAAGGGAGCATGGCACTCCTGGGGGCGGGGGTCGTTCTCCCACCTCCACTCCTGGGGCCTCTTTCAACTGCACAGACCCGGAGGACCCCAGAGAGGCCTGCCTGCTCAACCCCAGTCTCAGGAGTAGGCGGGCTGCAGATGCGTGCTTCCTCTCTACCAGGACGCCCGGCTACCTCCTCCCGACCAGAAATGTCCCCGCTCACCCCAACGTTGAGGAGAGAGGGTCCCCCTCCCCCTCCTCCGCCTCCCTCCTTCGTAAGATGTTGCTGGAATCCAGAACTTTGACCCTGCCCTGTGTCCTCCGCGGTGATTCAGGGTTTATGAGGGTCAGAGATGAAAGGGGCTGGGGCCCACAGAAGCCAGCAAAAGCCTGCCCTGACATCAGGACCACGGGTGGCTTTGACAATGCCAGGCTTGGCCTGTACATTTGGGGAGGCAAGGGCCTGGCTGAGATGGAGCCCCGTCCTGTTTCCAGGCTTGCTGAAAGCAGGCTCCTTGGATCTCAGCCCTTCACTGAGGCTCTAAGTCCTCCCGTCCTCATGGCCGATCTGAATCGTCCTCCCCAGGCCTCCCGCACATGGTGCTTCACTCCTTCACTGACTTGTCCCCTCCCCGAGTCGCCTCCCCATTTCTGACCAGTAAGGGCCTCCTTTCACCGAGTCCCTGCTGCTGGCAGTACTGGTGCTAAGAAGCTGAACTTGGGTTCTATCGCACTCACTCGCTCATTCATTCAGTATTGACTGTGCCGGTGAGGTGTTAGGTGTGGGTTAGACGCATCCAAAGCTGACTTCTCTGTGGTGGTATCCTGGTAGTCCAAGGGTCAAAGGACTAGACCTGAAAGCACAGGAACCCATCGAGAAGGCCCCACGGATTTAGGCAGAACGAGAAGAGAGCAGCTTCCTGCACTTGCTCTTCGCCAAAAGGCCGAGAAGGGAGAAGAGAGCAGCTTCCGAGGGAGCCGCTGGCACTCAGGTCCGATTTTGTCAATGACTTCCTGACCATCAAAATCCAATGCCTTGCTCAACCCAACCCCACTCCTGGACAACACCCCTGGGAGTCACTCATTCCACAAGCCTGTGGTCATTTGCTTCTCCTTGCATGCCTCTGGGGACAAGGAGGTCACCACTTGACAGTTTACCAATTCCATCCCTGGACAGTCACAACTGCTAGAATGTTCTTCAGGCGATACCGGAATCTGTTTGTCTACAGGCCCTCACTCTTTGTCCTTGCTCTGAAAACAGACCTTAATGGCCCAGGATGGCCTCCTGGGTCAGCCAACCTGCCCGTTCCCAGGAGCCCGCCCTTCTCCAGGGTCCAGACCAGAAGTGGATCTGTTGGCATGGTGACCTGTGATCTCCAAACAAGATGTGTGGGGCTGGGAAGGGAGAGGCTGGGGAGGGGTTGGGGGGAGTGTGGGAAAGAGCTTTGTCTAACCCAACAAGTCCTGGATTCTCCCCGCTTACCTGTGAGTCACCCCCAAACTAGGCCAAACTAGTCCACAGGCCCACACGCCGGCAAACACATGCCGACACACAGACACACATGGGCCCAGAAACGCAGGTTTGCACATGGTAAGGACACAGACACACACACAGTCAAGCAGACACAGGAACAGAGTTATAAACATGCACACCCTGGCACAAGAGACACACAAACACAGAGCCCACGGTGACCCGCCCACGCACAGGTTCACAGTACACAGTTCATTCCCAGCCACAGGCTCTTATCCCCTTGAAAGTCCCCTGCACTCCTGCACAGACACACACTCGGGGGCAGGTCTTACAAAACACACACACACACACACACACACACACACACACACCCGCCTTAGCTGCAGCCTCCATTGTGTCCTATGCGCGCACACACCCACACACCTGCCTGCCTGCACCTGACAGAGAATCTTTCCGCACAAAGGGGACATCAGCAGTGGTGGCCTGGAGGTCATCCTGCCTCAGCGAGCCTCAGCCTCCCTCCTGAGTCTGTCATTATCTGCCGAGCCCAAAATAGCCAAGAGTGACAGGGAGAGCCCCGAGTCCCCAAGCTGAACCTCCCACTTCTTCCCCACCCCACCCCCCACTGGGCCCCCTTGCATCCACCTTCCCTGTCTCTGCAGCCCTTCCTGCCTCCCCAGGCTGGGCACCAAACAAGCCTGAGGAAGACAAACCTAAACCAGGCCCCTGCCCCCTGCCCAGAGCACCGCAATTTTGCCTTGTGGTAACAACCACAGTCCCAAACTCACGGCCAGCACAGTGATTTCAACAGTGGTCGCCAGATCAAATCCACCTCCAGAGGGTTACAGAAAACCCCAGTCTGCAAAGCTCCATCCGTGCCCAGCCCTCTCGTTCCTGCACACGGCCAGCCGAAGAGAGCAAGGTGACTCAAACACAAGCTTAGTGTTAGAGAGACCAACCTCGCTTGAAATTCCGGCTGGCTCTTCCCTGCTAGCTGCCTGGCTTTAGTCGAGGGAACTACCCTGCCTGAGTCTGGGGGCAGGGGCAGGGGACAGCACTGGCCCCTCTTCAGAGCGCCACTGTGAGGATTTAGTAAAAGGATGCTTAGAACCCCAATCAGAAGTGGCAGCCACCTCTCTCATCCTTAGGAACTTGTCGAAGCCCGACCTGAAGCCCAGGGCCCCTTCCTGATCATCCCGGGTGGTGGGGGGCCCACGCTTACGCTCACTCTGGTATGTTATGGGAGATGCATCATTCCATCTCTGAGCCCATGCCCGCAACCCCCATCCCCTTCCAGCAGTTGTAGGAGAGTCATTTCGACCCAAAAAGAGCCCCAGTTTGGACACCTCGCCTGAACCTGTGGTCGTCAGCACAGAGCCAGGTGGGGTAATTAGGGCTGCGACCGAGGCGTTATTAATAAGCATCGCTGCTATTTGGGCAGCCCAGCTCTTCGGAGTTCAAAGCATGTTCCTGTAACCACCTCCCCTTGCCTCATCCCCAACGACCAAATCCCTTCGCCCGCTGAAGGCCCAGAGAACTTAAGCAACTTGCCCCAGGACACTCAGCCCTTTGCCTGGGAGGTGCTTCCCAGCCCGGGTCTGTGAAAGTGGCAAGTGTTGCTGGGGAGAAGGTGGCCCTGTCCCCTCTTCCCCCTCGGGTGGCCAGGAGTGGAGCGCCGCACTAGTTGGACAGAAGCAGTAGAGAAGGGGGCCAGCCTTTGCTGGACCGTTGATAGGGGGAAGGGGTGGCCCAGTCAGCTCAGGTTCAGGACGCTAAATGAATGGAGCTCGAGTTGGAGAAGACCAGGGATGAGGCAGAAAGACCCAGGACAGGACAGTCAGGCCGTCTCCCCTCCCACCACCGCCCACTCGGGGACCGGCCTCTGCTCACCGTCGTCCGTGGGGGGACCCAGATGTCCTGCTAGTCGGGAGCTCCTGCCACTGGGCCGTGCTCCCCTGATGTCCTCGGACTCTTAGCCAGGACTCCTGGGGCAGGTCGATCGGGCACCCCGGGATGGGGCGGGGCTCCTGGGGAGGCTCCCACCAGCCCCTGGATTCCTCAGAGCCGCAGGGGTGGGGATCTGGTTGGGCCGGTTTGGGCTCCTCAGCCTCCTCCTTGGGTGCCCGCCTGCACTCCTGTAGGGTGACGGTGATGTGGTAGCGGGTCCTTCTGGTAGAGGGACCTGCGTGGAGAGTCTGGGCTGGCTGTGCTAGGGCAAGCCCTGGGGTGACGGGCTTGCCCTTTGCCCCCTCTGCTGTGGGGAAGGATGCTGGGCGGGGCGATGGGAGAACTCCTTCCACGTCGCTGGGCACCTCGGGCCTCAGAGAAACCTCAGGGGCAGCATCTGAAGCCCACGGATGAGCAGAGCCCGGGGGCTCCTGTTCAAAACACCCAGAAGCTGGCACCAAGCCCAAGGGGCTCCGGGCACAGGGAGGCTCTGCCGAGGCCACTGCCAGCGCCAGGTCCTCCGGCCCCAGGTTGGCATAGCTGGCCAGGTCCGAGCCACTGCCCACAGCTGGCCTCCGCAGGCGCCCCAGGGACTGAGCGAGTCCCCCAGAGCTGTGTGGTCGCCTTCCAAGCCAGGATGCACGGCTCCCTGCCCGAAGGTCCCATTCTGAGCGGCTCTGGGTCTGGACCTGGGGGGAGTGGAGATGGGTGCCAACAGAGGCAGAGGCCTGGTGCCATCTCCCCTCGACTGCCCCCCTGGCACAGGAGTGGCACCAAACAGAGCTGTCCTAGGGAGAGGCATCCAGGCCACCGGAGCTGGCCAAAGGGACAGGGCTCCAGTCAGGGCCCTCAGCGCTCAATTCACCACCTCCCATTCACCCTCTGAGGGATGAACGCCTCCACGTTTCCGTGGGCAACAGGGACTGGACGAAGGTCACACAGTGAGGCAAGGAGCCCTCTAGGTGACACAACCACCTGGGACCTGCTCCCTCTTCCAAAGAGTGGTGACCTTAGCTTCATCTCAGGCCGGAGGCTGCCTTCCCAAGCACCCAGAGGCCTCCGGCCCTTTGGCAGCAGCGCGGCCCTGGAGATTAGGGTCCGTGTGGACATGCCTGCCGCAAGTTCCCACGGCCTCTGCTCCGGTCAGGCTTCCCAGAGTTCTTGGGGACCCCTCGCAGTCGGATAGTCCCACAGCACACCTGGGAGGAGGTCCCTGGGCATTGAGGTGAGGCAGGAGGGAGCCTGGGAAGTGGGTTAATACCTGATCCCAGTCTGTTCTCCCACCCCACACCCCTACCCCCTGCCCGGGCTCAGCCTGTCTCAGTTTCCCAGTGGGTAAATGGCTCAGGAATGACAGACCCATAGAGACACTGCCTCCCAACCTCTTCTCAAAGATGCGTTGGGCCCTTGGCAACCAAGGAGCTCAATCTGAGGCCTCAGTGCTTCTTAGCCGGGACCTTTGTTTCCAAAGGCCTCCTTTGTGAAACAGATGCCCGTGGCCTCCTGTTCCCCCAGGGACAGCAAACTAGAGTGATTAACTATGGAGGTCCGGAGCGAGGCATGGTCTCTCCGGAGACTGTCGGTTTGCGCTCAACTAGCTGGCAGTTTTGAGCCCAGCCAGCAGTGTCACGGAAGAAAGGCCTGGTGAGCTGTGTCTTCTAAGGATTATATTCTAGAACGCTCGATGCAGCACAGGCCTACTCTGAACGCACGAGGTCACCATGCCTGGCACCAGGTTTGCTTTGGGTGTGGAGGAGGCCGCCGGGGCTGAAGACCTAGGCCATCTCAGTTTCCCCAGGTGTAAATGGCAATAATAATGACAGTACCTGCCTCCCCCGGGGTTACTGGGAAGACCGCGATTAAGCCATGCAGAGTAAGGAACTCTCGATTATCTGATTATCCACTAGTGTTATTAGTGGCATTCGGGCTCAGAGGAAGTCGCGGTTGCTTCCGCCATCACCAGGGGAAGCTGTTCCCTGTCTCTCCCCTGGCCCCAAGGCTGGGGAGGAAGGACATCCTGTGGATGGCTCAGGCCTAATGTGCAGACTGGGGAGCTGTGGCCCTAAGATGAAGCCACTCATGACTGGTGTGAGGCTGAGCTAAAATCGGCATGCAGAGAAAGGGGCCTGGAAGCAGGCACAGCCCCACCTCTGCCCAGAGGACGCTAGCACTAGGAAGCTGGTGTTTCCTGAGCACCCAGGCCCCATGCCACACAGAATCAGTGGCAGAGAGAGGACTAGAAATCCATTCTCCTGACTTGAGCGCCAGGGTTCATGGGCTCTCACACCCCTCCCTGAGTTTCTGTCCCCTCCCTTACTCCTCCCTCTGCCTTTTCTCCTACCTGGAGGCTGAGCTTGCTGGCACTGTCCTGGGTCAGGTCAGGGCAGCTCTGGCCACCCCAAGGCCTGGAAGGAAGCACAGAGGAGAGGGGTGAAGTCACCTCCTGTCCCCCACCTCCCCCACCTCCAGACTGGCCCCAGTCCAGCAGGGTGAGACCCTGACACCCACCCCGGCTGTCCACTCTCTCTCCAGAAGCCGAGAAAGAGACAGGATGGGCTTGGGACCAAAATGGGGGACTGGACCCCTATCAGAGAAACACAGAGAAAGAACATGGGTCCAATCACTCCCTGTTGCTGAGGCCAAACGGTGTGCCAGGCTTCCAGAGTAGGTATTAGTGGTCCTGTTTTTCAGCAAAGGAAATGAGGGCCAGAGAGATGATGTATAGCCCCCTCCTGTGAGTTTACCCACCCCCACACACCTCCATGCCAGGCAGTCAGCAGTGCCAGGGTCCTGTTCCCACAGCTGGGGAGAACCAAGCCCAGCAGACGCATGGCATGTGTCATTGTGCTAGCTTGGGAGCCTCCTCGGCCCCTCCCCACCCCTGACTCACTGGCACCCCAACCCTGCCTCCTTCTGAGAGGGAAGGGCAGAACCACCTGGGCCTATGGGGCAGGTTTCTGCCAGGCAGGATAAAGGGGGAGGGCGTGTCTATCAGGCGGGGGAGGGCAGGGCCCTGGCAGGGTGTGGGTACCCCAGGCACCCAGGCTTCCAGGCATAGGGTGGCTAGGGCCCTCCTCTTCCTCCTTGAGGTGAGAACAGTGCAAACCCCTCCCCTCACTCTGCTCCCACCACGCCCCCACCCCCTCCAGGTGGACTGCTGACAGCTGTGTCCTGATAAAATCAGAACAAATTGCCCAGTAACTACATAGACACACACACCCTGCTGCCTGCGTGCACACCTGTGCTGTCGGTGGACACCGGGCCTGTGAGCCACAGGGTCCTCGTGGGATTTTTATTAACGGTCCCACCCTGCCACCGGGACAGCGGAGCCGTGGCTCCCAGTCAATGGGCGGGGAGAGGTGAAGGGAAATGACTTGCTCCGGCCCACAGGGCTGGCGATGCCTCTGCTGGGACGTGCCCCGGGGGCTGCCAGGTTTGCCATCCAGCTACCTCACCAAGCAGGAGCAGCACCGTTTCAGATAGTGGTTCTGGGGTCAGACTGCTTCCGTTTGTGTCCTGGCCCCGCCACTCCGCTGTGTGACTCTGGGTAGGTGACTCCATCTCTCTGAGCCTCCACTTCCTTATCTGAGTCACCCATGCGACTTACCTGGTAGGAAGGACAGCTATGAGGCTGGAAGGAGCTAACCTTGGTAAAGCACCCGAGGCAAGCCACCGAATAAAGGCTTGTGGGGGCACAGTGGGGTACAGCTGGGCTGCTAACAGCAAAGTCAGCCGTTCGAACCCACCGGTCTCTCCGCAGGAGAAGGACAGGGCTCTCGGTTCCTGTAAAGATTTATAATGGGGGAAACCCGAAGGGCGGTTCTGCTTGGGAATTGGCGATGACCCGGCGGCAGGGGGGTTCTTTGCGGGTTGGCTGATACAATAGCTATCTCCAGGTGTGGGGGTGACGAAGGGAAACCTGTCATGAGACAGGAGACTCAAAGTCCACTGTGACAGGAGGCACTGTGTTTGCCTTTACCCTGTCTCCAGCCAGAAGAGCCTGGGCCGCAGCCCGCCTGCCAGACTTTAAAACGCGCCATACCAAGCTCACAATTCCGCCACATAGGGACCCTACAGGACACAGTAGAACTGTCCCTGTCACATAGGGACCCTACAGGACACAGTAGAATTGTCCCCGTGGGCTTTGGAGGCCGTAAATCTTGACAGGAGCAGAAAGTTTCCTCTTTCACTCTCGGAGCGGCTGGCCAGTTCGAACTGTTTACTCTGCCGTTAGCAGTCCAACACAGAACCCACTGCGCACAGGGAGCTGTACACGCTGTTCCGAAGTTTCAAAAGAGCCCAAGGACTTTACAAAGGCCACTTGCAAACTGGCCAGGGTGGTGTTTTAGAAAGGACTCCTGAGGAGCAGTGGGTAAGAGCATGTTTGCCAACCAGAAGTGCATCGGCTTCAGACCCACCCACCGGCTCCTGTAAGGACTTCAGCCTCGGAAGTGGAACTTCCCTGTCCTGCAGGGTCACTGTGAGTACAAACCCACTCAACAGCAAGGGGGTTGGTCGGAGTTTTGTGCTGCGTATTTGTTTTAGGTAACAACAACAACAACAAAAAATGTCGATGCTGCTTCCACAGGCACATAGCCAAAGTGTGGCTCATTGACTGACAGTGGAACGTTTGCACACGGAGACATTCATTCACACAGCGTATCTCCAAGGCCCCGCGTGCAAATTACATTTGCACGATACTGTGGTCTGATGCGCGTACATTATGAAAAATGCCTGAAATAGTCTGAGAATTCCACTGAGACAGGAAGAGGGCAGGAAAAAATGGTGTCCATAGACTTGCTCCACACAAGGGTCCACAGCTTTCAAATGGTCATGAAATCCTGTAATGTCTACAAATGGGTGGGGGGGGCAATAAAACGGGTCTGCCTGTGCTTGCTTAGTTGAACATTCATATCCCACTCGACCACACACACAGCCTAGGACCCAGGGGCTCCAGCCTCACCGGCCCTCCTTCCAGCCCCCTCACCTATCCGGGGCTCCGGCATCCTTCTGGGGCTCCTTGGCCCTGGGCTCCTTCTGGCCCCCCAGCCTGGCCAGGAGGCGCGTCAGGCGGGTCCTGAGGCCCCCGCGCCGCTTGGCCATGGCAGGGACACGGCCCGGGTGGTGCAAGCACCTGACCCGGATGCGCGGCGATGGAGCCCAACACCGCCTGGGGCGGCCCGCACCCCCCCACCCCGCACCCCAGAGCACACAGCGGCCCCGCCTGCGACCGGGCGGGCGGCGGCGGCGGACTCGGCTCCAGCGGGCGCTGGGCTCGGGTGCCCTCTGCCCTCCGCCGGGGACCTGGCCCGGCCGCGCTGCGCCTTCGGGCGCCCGCCGACAGAACCTACGCGAGGGGAGCCCGGGAGATAGTGGGGGGCTGACGGAGAGGCTCCC